CCCCCCCCAGGCTACCACTAACTAACTAACGCGCTAAACAAACGAACGGTACACTACACACCCCTTCGTTAGAGGCACTCTGCCCCATCAGCGTACGGCCTACCCCCCCAGGATAGGGCACTCGCCCCCATGTGTTGTGATCCGCCTCTAACACCCCGGACGACAGCGCAAGTACAAGGAAAGGTACCAGCACCAAGGGTAGGGCAGACATGAACAGACTCTGGCTCTGGTTCTGTGCGCTCTTGCGGGAGTGGGTGGAGGGTCGGCGTGTCTGGTGGATGTACCCGCGTGGTGCGGTTTCGAAACTACTGGCCAATTGCTCATCGGGGGACTGTAGATATACAGAGGAGATACAAAGGTGACTGTTAAGTAATGGATAAGTATGTGCTGTACGTAGAAGATACAAAGGTGATTGCTAAGTAATGGATAAGTATGTGCTAAGCAATGGATAAGTATGTGCTAAGTAATGGAAAAGTATGTGCTAAGTGATGGATAAGTATGTGCTGCGCATTGTACGCTTACCCGCACTAGCCTAGAGTCAGTATCCTAACAAACCATGAACTGCCCTGTGTCGTTCGTGAGCGTACTGACTGGTATCGCTGTCTTCATATACTATAGCGTACGCTTGCTAGAACAATTCAACGCAAACGCACACACACAACTCGTACATTTAAAACCAAACGGGTGATCATAATGGGCGATTGGTATCGCTGCCTTTATACACTATAGCCTACGCTTGCTAGAACACTTCAACGCAAACGCACACACACACTCGTACATTTAAACCAAACGGGTGATCATAATGGGCGATTGGTATCGCTGTCTTCATATACTATAGCGTACGCTTGCTAGAACACTTCAACGCAAACGCACACACACAACTCGTACATTTAAAACCAAACGGGTGATCATAATGGGCGATTGGTATCGCTGCCTTCATATAACTATAGTAGTGGGCGTGCAAGCCATGGCACTGGCTACGTCCATGCAATCGAAGCGTATATATATGCGTTGCACCTGAGTATGCGGGTAGATCTAGAATGAATGATATCAAACAAGCAACGCGAGTACAAACAGCGTGCCTAATACGTCACTGTGTGACTGTGTGATCGGGTGAGTACAAACAGCGTGCCTAGTACGTGACTGTGTGACTGTGTGATGGGGTGAGTACAAACAGCGTGCCTAGTACGTGACTGTGTGACCGTGTAATCGGGTGAGTACCAACAGCGTCCCTAGTACGTGACTGTGTGATCGGGTGAGTACGAACAGCGTGCCTAGTACGTGACTGTAACTGTGTGATCGGGCGAGTACAAACAGAGTGCCTAGTACGTGACTGTGTGACTGTGTGATGGGGTGAGTACAAACAGCGTGCCTAGTACGTGACTGTGTGACTGTGTGATCGGGTGAGTACAAACAGCGTGCCTAGTACGTGACTGTGTGACTGTGTGATCGGGCGAGTACAAACAGCGTGCCTAGTACGTGACTGTGTGATCGGCTCAGGCCATCACTATGAAATACGACCCGCCATATGTTTCAATGATGACTGCAAATAATCCTTTTAGGACTCGTGATTGTGGCAAGTAGAGAACTTCTCGAGCGATAAGGCGTATTTCGATATGCACGTTTACAGTGACCATGAGCGGGAGCTTAATTACTGCTGTGTGATGCATCCGATTACCGCGTCAAAACTACCTCGACAACACCAACACACACATACCATATCGGTGAAGGTACTCCGTCTGCGAGGCATCTTTTGAGCCCTACAATGAATTGGAGGTTAAAATGTAATATGAATTAGACAGATCAATACCGAGACCCAGCGCATAGATTTATCTTTTAATATTGACTAGATGATACGCAGGCGTATAACAGCTTGTAGCGACATGACGACTCTATACCCTACCTACCATAGTGAGATGTCATCCTCTCATACCTTCCCCCTTCACACCATATGTATGCTCGCACACGTACACGTGTAGTACACCAGTCTAACCACTAACTGATAGAGTTGTACATGAACACACTTCGAGCTCCAAATATTCAATTGGGTCGCTAATAGTTGATAGTTGATCACTCTAATACGTAATTTACACTCCAAAAATTCACATACATAGTCGGACCACCCGTGGCGCCCAGGAGCGCGTCTTCTTCATCACCGATCTGCTCAGCTGCACCTTCGACCTCGTACTGTGGTGGTGTGGTGAATAGAGGAGGTTAAGAAGAAAAATACTACAACACTTGGTATCAAATAGACGAATACAGTACAGTACTCTCGATGACCCGATATACACCAGAAGAATACAATTTGTCACACAAACGACATTAGTTTGCACTTATTTTCTATAAAATAATATATATATATATATATATAGACGAACACATAAACTTACATTCATATATATATTTAGACATATATAAAAAGCAATAATAAATTCAAGATACATGTATATATATATATATATATCTATATATATGTTGTATATATTACATTATATATATATATATATAAACAATACAATATATACAATTTAATATATATATATACTTATATAAACTTACACTCATATATATAAATATTTATATATATATATAAATATATATATATATATCTAGAAATATATATATACAAAGTATAAAACAATTCAGGATACATGTATATGTATATATACAGTATATTTGTAAATGTTATATTATATATATATCTGTGTGTGTGTATGTGTGTGT